ATGAGCTACAATGTTTACAACAAATATATACATTTATAAATGATGAATTTTCTAGGGAACATTGGTAGAGGGGCAAGAAATAGCAGTTAAAAGGCTTTCAGAAAGTTCCGGACAAGGAATGGTAGAGTTCAAAAATGAAGTTATACTGATTGCCAAACTTCAACACCGTAATCTTGTTAAGCTTCTTGGTTGTTGCATTCAAGGAGATGAAAAGATGTTGATCTACGAATATATGCCCAACAAAAGTTTGGATTGCTTTATCTTTGGTCTGATTCTCAAACATTCTAGTACCAGAAAAAAAAAATTTTTTCTTTTTTTGAGGAAATGGACTAAAATGCGTACATTTACCAGATCAAACGAAAAAGGCATTGATAGATTGGCAGAGGCGGATGCACATCATTGGTGGAATTGCCCGAGGGCTTCTTTATCTTCATCAAGATTCTAGATTGAGGATTATCCATAGGGATCTCAAAGCTAGTAATGTCCTATTAGACAAAGATATGGACCCAAAAATTTCGGATTTTGGTTTGGCTAGAATGTTTCGGGGAGATCAAACTGAAGCAAGCACTAATAGAGTTGTTGGAACTTACTAAGTAGAAGTGAATATAATGCAGAATATAGCTATTTTTATCTAGGGCCACATATTTTTCACTTTGCTTTTAATGACATTTTTGCAGTGGTTATATGTCTCCTGAGTATGCAATAGATGGACACTTCTCAATAAAATCTGATGTCTTCAGCTTTGGTGTGATAGTACTCAAGATCATAAGTGGGAAGAAGAACAGAGGATTTCACCACCCGGATCACAATCATAATCTTCTTGGACATGTAAGCATAAATAAACAATAAATTAATTTCTTGAACAATGCCATGCATATATGTTTCTTTTTGGCCTTCAATGCTCTACATATATTTGATTTTTAGTATTTTTAGGCATGGAAACTATGGATGGAAGAAAGAGCATTGGAAGTAATGGACACTATGGTAGGTAACTCTTGCACTGTTTCTAAGGTTCTACGCTACATTCATGTGGCTCTGCTATGTGTTCAGAAACGACCAGAAGACAGGCCAGATATGTCATCTGTGGTTCTAATGTTGGGCAGTGAGAATCCATTGTCTCGACCAAAACTTCTTGGTTTTTACACCGAAAGGAATCTACCAGAAGAAGAGGTTTCATCAAGCCAGTATGAACGTGTTTCAGTAAATGAAGTAACAATTTCAAAGTTGCAGGGGCGGTAGAGCATCATCACTTGAAATAAAAATGTTAAACATAAAAGTGGAAGGCTAGTATATGTAATGTAATAGTAAACATCCTGGATATCATTTTCCTGGCAGTAATGAGCTAAGAAAATTGTGTAGCATGTTATGTAATGTCTCCAGCGTCTCTTCAAATTACAAGGTTGCCTACTACAGTTCCATGGATTTGAGGCTCTTAAGTTTCTTTTTCTTGGCAGAATCCATAGTTTCAAACTTTAGTGGGTCACAGTTGAAAATTTTACATTTTTTTTTCCTTCTTTATGGGGATTGTGAAAGGAGCAAATGAGGAAATCCAGTTCCAGTCTGTAATGGCAACTTTGTGGGCAAGTATTGAAGAAAAAAGCAAAGAAGAGACCAATGTCTCTAGTTTTGCCACTAGCAGAAATGATATTTCCATTGAAACTCCATGACAGGTGGACTTGACAAGCCATTCAGGACGTGCCAGATGGTTATGGTCCCTGTTTGCTGGGCTGAGCCATCTAATTTCTACTTTTTTCTTTTTTTTTTTTTGAACCTCAGCTAATTTCTACTTTAAAACGTTTGCTTGAGTATGGTTATGGAGATTAATTCATTTATTAAGGTCACTAGGATTGTTTTAAGAAAATATTGATTTTATTAGATTTAATTATTAAAAATAATTAATAATTTAAAAAATAATTGATATTTATTATCTAATCAATTGAAATTAGTTTATAAATTAATATTTTTAGATAAAAAATATTGTATGGTTTAAGCTATATTGATTTACACAATATTAATTATTAAATAAAGACTAAACTTTTTGATTTTAAAAGTACTTTTCAATCTAATGATTTTTATCTTATAATTAGATGTATATCTCTCCTTTTTACTATCTTAATTCTTTCTTATCTCACTTATTTGCTTAATGAATTTTTTTTTAAAGTTGCATTTAATATATTTTATTTTTTTTTATAGACAAAGCTTATTTTATTTTATTTTATTCATATTTTAGAAAAATATAATTAGAACTAACTAAATTTTTTAAAAAATACTATTAATTTTTTTAAAAAATTAAATAAATCAAAATATTTTTATACATATCTTTAAAAAAATTTGTATGCTTCTACGAAATTTTCAATACTCGTG